GGGCTTTGGCTGGAATGGTTGGGGCCTCACTCCATGCAATCTCTCACCCTCCAGCAGGCTAGACCAGGCTTCTTCACATGATGGTGGAAGGGTTCCCTATAGCAACAGGGTATGTCCAAGTAGAAAGCATTTTTCAAGCTGCTGTTTGGCTTGTTTGCTACATGAAAAAAAAAATGCAAGTCACATGTCTAGGCCCAAATTGAAGAGAGGGAGAAGAGCTGGATTTTATTTCTTCATGGAAGGATTTGCTCTATTTTCCCCTTATATAGCAATTGGTGACTGTGATATCTAACTCAGCACAGAGATAACCTCTGACATTACATCAAATCACTCTAAATCCCCATCTAAGGGGGCACCCATAACATTAGAGATTACTTGGTGGGTACAACGTATGATACTTAAGTGATGGGTACACTGACAACCCTGACTTCACCACTATGCAGTCTACGCATGTAACAAAATTACACTTGTATCCCATAAATTTATACAAATACAAATTAAAATAGATAAATAAAAACAGCTTCATTAGTTAGTAGGGGGAAATTTTATAGAAAGGAGATTAATTAATTTTGCTTTTCTATTTATTCAGTTGGTCTTGTTCCAAGGAGGCAGTAATCATCCCCTAAATCCCCAGCTGCAGGAGCTCACAACCTTTGGTCTTAATGTTCCATAAAATAAAAGCAATACATTTACTCTTGCCTGCATTTTTTAACTGCTAAACAAGAAGTTTTTGAGGTTTAAGGGGTGACAATTAATTGTACTTCTTTGCCTTCCATCTTTAGAATCAGTTGAGAAATAGATACAAGCAATGGGAATTAAATATCAAAATGATACCTCTATTGCTGACAGCATTGGTCCAGAGAATGCAGCTTGGGGTACAGCCAGACGGGGCTCCTGCTTCTTCCCATAAGGACAGACTTGGGATGCTCCGTGGGAGAAGAGCCTGGGTCTCCAGAGCAGGTCCACTGGCCTGGCTAGACAAAAGGAAAGTTGTTGCTTCTTACCTTCCAGATTATGGCAGTCAAGACAGAGGGATCAGGGAAGGGCTCAGGAACAGAGAAAACAGGCCACCAGGCTGTGTGTGAGTATGGCTCCTTCTCCCGCCTCATCATCAGTCAGCTACAGCCCTGCCCTTTCCAGGGGAGGAGTGAGGAGTGAAAGGATGAAAAATTAGATGGAAGTTTTTCCCAAATACTTTCTGTTTTGACTTTTGGGGCAATTTTTCCATAGGCATATTGTGTTAACTTCTTGTTGAAGCAAAAGATGGACACAGAGGAGAGCACTCAACAAGAGCAGACAGCTCAGCACATTTTCACAAATGGAGGACACTTGTGTAACCAGAACCCGGATCAACAACGGGGCATTACCAGCCCCTACAAGCTGTATGGGTTCTTTTTGTGTCTGACTTCTTTTGCTCAAAGTGATGATGGTGAGGTTCACCCACGTTGTGTATAGATGTGAACTGTTAATTCTGGTTCCTGTATAGTATTTCACTCTGTGAATACATTGCAGTTTACCTATTCTACTGTTGATGGGTAAACTGCATCAACAGCAGAGTGGAGTGCTCTGTGAATACATCTAGAAACCAGGTCTAATTTCTAGATTTGACTGATTAAAACATTCTGATATGTGTCTTTTGTGAAAATATGCAGGTATTTCTGTTAGGCATATTCCTAGAACTATCCTTTAGAACCCAGAGGCTCCACTTACAGAGATATATTCATAAAAGATGCTTAGAAATTTTAGACACTAAAAACTGTTTTCCGAAGTGGAAACGTGTGACACTCCCACTGGCAACATTATGAAAATTCCACATGCCCACCTCCTTGCCTCCCAATATTTTGAAAAGGGCAGAAGTTCTTGTTCTATAGATAAGTAAAATACCGAGAGAAAGAGAAAATAAGTCCCATTATAATTGAAAAGGGAAGGATTTTCCAAATAATTTTTAAAAAGAAATTTAAAAAATGCATCAATCCATCTTATTTTCTGATGCAGTTCAAAATAAGTTGCAGACAATTATTAATAACAGACAGGGTCTTTTTAGGTGCAATACCTCCTTACAAGCAGAAAGGTGATTTATGATCTAACTTTAGAAGCTTGAGATGTTCTCAAAATCTCATCCAGCTCTGTGGAGGAAGGATTCTGCAGACAAGATGTTCCCTCCACAGAAATTGTGATAAAGCACCAATTAGTGACGACAGCAAAGAAGTGGGAGTGTTTAACCTTTTGGGTGCACCAACAATGTACTCCTTAATTTGAAAATATGGTACAAAGTGTTAGCAAGTGAAGAAGAGTAATTGTTCATCACTCAACTTGACATATCTCCTTTGCAGCAGAGGCAAGAGAAGGGATCCTCTCTGCTCCATTTATTTTGGCTTTCGTCTAACTTCTCTGAGAAAGGACCAGATGCTCTAATGAGCGGTACCAGACACTGAAACTATCTGGAGATCAGGATAACACATGCTGACAGCTTTCCCCTTGAGAAGCCTACCTCTCCTCCGAGCTCCTTAGAGCATTTTATATGCATTATCCAGCAGCAAGTCTTATTATCCTTTTTTTTGCAAATGGTAGAAAAGCGATGCAGCGAGGCTGAGCTGAAAAAGCTCACTCGAGGATACCAGGGAAGCCAAATGTTCAGCTCAAAATAGAAACCGAGAGCTCTGGGAAACTCAGCCTGAGAGCGTCCTCTCATCTCTGGACACTTCTGTATCTTTTCAGACAATGAGCCTTTCCCTGAAAGAATTTTCCCCCCTAATGACAGGGCTGCCAACTCTCCCTCCAGGATGTTGTAAAAAGGTGACATTTAACTGAGGAAATGGAAACTCTAATTGACTTCTCCTAAAGCAGAAAAATAAGTGGTCTGTATTCCTTCTCTTGGCCAGATGTTTGTAATTGTTCCCTTGGGATTCTACCTTGGGGGAAGCTTTCAGCCTCTTTCAGAGGCAAAACAAAATAGTCCACTTGAATTGGTCTACTTACACACACAAGAATTGTTTCTACTTCACGGTGGAAGATGTGGAGAGCCCATCCAAGAAGACAGTAGTTTCAGGAAGAGAATTCCAGCTCATGTCGCTAGCTGACAGCCCCAGAATATCTTGCAGAGATAAATAAGGAGCTTGAGGCGAACCCTCCATTTTTAGATCTGGATATATGGAGGCCTGTGCTTATTTGGATCAGTTGTGTTCCTTGCTTTGGATAATGGAATTTTAGCAGAGATGATGTGAGCAAAGTCTTGAAATGTGCTTGTGTAGGATGTCTTGCCCTCTTGTGTTGCAGTCATCACCATGAGAAGAACATGCCCCAGGGAGTCTGTGGGTCCAAGGAGGATGGACTAGCTAAGCCCAGCCTACATGGGCCAACTACTAGCCACTCTGAAAACATGTAAGCAATAAATAATTGTTTATTATTGTGAGCCACTGAGTTTTGTGGTGGTCTGTTATGCAGCACATTATGTTATAATAGACAAATATAGGGCTATTAAGAGTAGAATAAGTAGAGGAGGATTCTTAGTGTGCTGTGGACAATGCTTGCAAAAGTGTTTGGCTTAGGGTAGTCACATAGCAAGCACCTGGTAACTATGAGAGAAATGGAGCTCAACAGGTTGATTGTATATCATATAATTTAAAGATTAGAGTGAATCACATTAAATATTCTGAATGTCTGGACCGTCTGTCGATATCTTCCTATTAATTGACAGTAACTTTTCTCTCTTTTTTTTTTCTTTTGAGATGGAGTCTCACTCTGTTGCCCAGGCTGGAGTGCAGTGGCACGATCTCAGATCACTGCAAGCTCTGCCTCCCGGGTTCACACCATTCTCCTGCCTCAGCCTCCCAAGTAGCTGGGACCACAGGCACCTGCCACCACGCCCGGCTAATTTTTTGTGTGTGTGTGTGTGTTTTTTTTAAGTAGAGACGGGATTTCACCGTGTTAGCCAGGATGGCATCGATCTCCTGAGCTTGTGATCTGCCTGCCTTGGGCTCCCAAAGTGCTGGGATTACAAGTGTGAGCCACTGCACCCAGCCACTTTTCTCTCTTTTTTTGTTTCCTTTTCCCATGACTTCTTTACTCTCTCTTCCCCAATAAGTATTTCATTATCTATCTATGACTATCTGTTTGTAACATCCATCTATCTATGACTCAATCCTGGGCTGAACTATATACTCACCACATAGATTCTGCAATTAATATTCTGCTGTATTTGTTTTTTGTATATGTCTATCTACGCTTGTATACATCCATCGATCCATCTTATTTTTTGATGCTTTTCAAATAAGTGGCAGGCATCAGTACTCTTCACCTCTACAGTGAATTTTGACAAATGCGTACAATCATTATCCCTGAAGGTGTCCTTAGGCCCCTTCCCAGTTAAGTCTACCCCCAACCCCCAAGGTGAACACTATTCTGATTTTTTCCCACCATAGATTAGTTTTGCCTGTTTTAGAACTTCATATAAATGAAATTGTACACGGTGTAATCTTTTGTGTTCAGCTTCTTTCATTAGCAAAATATTTTCGAGCACCTGTGTTGTTGTAAGGGTCCTCATTTTAAAACTAATAATTTGACAAGATCTTTGCAAACTGATCTTTACCTTAAAAAGTTGGACTTCTCTGATGTGTACATAAATATAGTAACCACTTTTAAATTAAATAGCCTAAATACAGTAGCCACTTGAACTAAGCCTCTGAAACAGACATCTCTTTCATGTGTGTGTCAGACCTTGTCTTTTTGTTTTCATGCTCCCCACATCCCCCTACCTTGTTTAGCATTGATAAATATTTCAAAACTGCAGAGGAAATTTATCGTATTTGTCTCACGGGCACAGAGCTTTTGATTTACTGTGTTCAGTAAGATGTAGGGGGCTAACCAAGCTCTTAGGATTAACTGCATCTGACTGTCCTTCAAAAGGTCATCAGCAGTACATCCTTAGTAGGCCTCACAATAATGTGTCCACACTACAGGTTAGTGGGAGTGACTGAAAGGCCTGACGAGTTGTCCTGGATTTGCTCTAGTGGGGCGATCAGAGTCCATAGCACTGGGTGGGAAAACATGAAAGAAAATAAGTGAAAGTGACGTATTCCTCCAGAATAGCTAAAGGTCAGTGCTCACCCCATTCAGCCACTGTATTCCCTAGACTTAGCATGACGCGGTTGTTTCTAAAAATCAACGCCACACTTAGCGTGGTAATGTGGCTTTGTACTATGGCAACGTAGCTAAGCCGGAACTACGTTTCCCAGAATTCCCTTGCCTGTAGGTTTCCGGGGTTAGCACAGGCCACGTGACCTGATGCGTGCTTTGTGAGGCGGAAGTGATGCAGCGTTGTCGTCTCGTAGGCTTGAAAGGTGGGTGCCGGAGGTTAGGTACTGTCGCAGCGCAGGGAATTGTCCCAGTCTGCTGTCTCACCTTGTGGGCGTGGAGCCCCTCTAACTTTCCGAACTCCCTGGCGGCCCGCGTGCCTGTGGCAGATTCAGCTCCCAGAACTCCACCTTCGGCTTCTTCCACTTCAGGGCCAGGCTGTGCTACCACTGTCAGGCCCCCCACCAGACACGGAAGCAACAGCTGTCCCTAAGTGTTCAACTCGCTCCTTCCCGCAAATGTAGAAGCTCAAATCCCTATAGCAAATTCTATATTCTATGTCATTTTTTTTTTTTTTTTTTTGGAGAAAAAGTCTGGCTCTGTCGCCCAGACTGGAGTGCAGTGGCCGGATCTCAGCTCACTGCAAGCTCCGCCTCCCGGGTTTACGCCATTATCCTGCCTCAGCCTCCCGAGTAGCTGGGACTACAGGTGCCTGCCACCTCGCCCAGCTAGTTTTTTGTGTTTTTTCAGTAGAGACGGGGTTTCACTGGGTTAGCCAGGATGATCTCGATCTCCTGACCTCGTGATCCCCCCGTCTAGGCCTCCCAAAGTGCTGGGATTACAGGCTTGAGCCACCGCGCCCGGCCTCTATGTCATTCTTAATGCTTCTGTCTCTCTAGTTGCATCTAGAATGGATACAATCAGTGATGCACATTTACCAGAGGATGTGCGGCGTTTACTGTTGATTTATCTCTTTTCCTGCCTTTCATCTCAGTTTGGTTCCAGGATCTACACTCCTCCACCATAGTCAGGAGATTCAGGAAAAGCTGGCAGGGTTCAGCTTTCAAGTTGACCCTTGACGAACCATGGCCAATCCTGCTAAGAGTCATGAAAGTCAATCCTAACCAATGAGATGGAGGAGAAATCACTGAAGAACTTGTGGAAAACAGGCCCTCTAGATAAAGAGAAATGTGTGGGGAAAAAGGATTTTTTTAATGTTATTCTGGATGTTTCCCAAAAGTACTGCTGCTGCCTTGCCTTTCTGACAGACACTGGCTTTGGATGACACGCCGCAAGAAGGAAGGACGGATCTGGGGTTTTTGAAGACTCACTGAGATGCGCAATGAACCAACCCTGAAGTAGCCAACTCATTCCTGTTTGCATGTGTTGACTGAAAAGAATTAAAAAAAAATATAACTTTACTTCTAAGAGGTTACAACTTGCAGGCAGGAAGCAGGCCTCTACCTGAGGCCATAAAGCATACTTTTAAGGAGAAAAGGTAGGTATTTATGCTAGGTGGAGAGGTAGGATATAAGTATTCTGTAGCATACAGGAGAAGCCTATGAAAATTCGTGGAGGAAACTTGTTAGACACGTGCCACTGGGCTTACCTATGAGGAATATCTGAAAGTGGACGACCTATGTTCACTTTGGGGTGAAGATTTAACATTTAGATGTATTATAATTAGGCCATAAATGCAAAAAGGTGAAACACAGGGCACAAGTTCATGATCTGTGCAATCTCCAGAGACCAGTCTGATCTAGCCCGCAGCCGGCAGTCATCTGTCAAGAAGGGGCTCTTTGTAGCCCAGAGTAGCTGTCAGGTTGGAACTATAAAACCAAAAGGAGGGCATCAGCGGTCAGATGAAGAGAAGTCTTTTGGCCTTTTGTCCTCTTGAAGTCAGCTTTGATAAGATCTGGTAACATTAAGGGGATGGGGATGGCTGCAGGTAGGACATGTCTGTTCTCTGTCCTGTCACAGCTGAGAGCTAGGAACTTTAGAGTCTTTCAGCCATAGAGGGTCCTGTCATCCATTGAAGGGATCAGTCCATTGGGATTTTGCCAGTTTTAGCATTAATCCTGTGTCCTGGGAAACCCCTCAATACTTGTCATACCAGAAGGTCAGCCACTCTAGCCCTACCTCAGGATCTCTTTTATGGGAAAGAATAATTCCCTTAACTGCTTGAACCATTTGAGTTGTGGCTGCTTTTTGTAATTGAAAGCATCCTGAATGTTCTGGGACAGTAAAAGAATGTGCCTTTGTTTCTGACAGCAATTATAAGATCAATTATATGGTTATATTCTAAAAAATGTTTTGAGTAATCATTGGAAAAGGGCATCACTTAGAAAATGTATCTGTGTCCTGGGACCTGTTGTGGGGTGGGAGGAGGGGGAAGGGATAGCATTAGGAGATGTACCTAATGTAAATGACAGTTCACAGGTGCAGCACACCAAGATGGCACATGTATACATATGTAACAAACCTGCACGTTGTGCACATGTACCCTAGAATTTAAAGTATAATAATAATAATAATAAAAGAAAAAGCTAAAAATAAATAAAAATACAAGAAGGAAAAAAAAGAAAATGTATCTGTGTGTCAATTTTGTTTGTTCAAAATCAGTTTCATTAATTTATGGGAAGATACACCTCGTACATTTTAATTAAAAAAAATTTGCCAGTTGAGGATACCCGTGATATATTCAAAGATAAACTTTTTCAATTTTAGATATTCATATGTCTTTGGGCCTTTGTTTAATTTTGTCCTAAAATAGGATTGCTTTTATATGGGCCAGATTCCTGCAGCAATGCCATCTGGGAAGGAAGGGAGGGCATGATCTTTGTTCTACATGTTTAAAAGTCTCAAATGAGTTACTGGGATTTAAAAAATATATTCGCACTTGAGTTTGGCACAGTTCAGTGATTTTTTTTTTTTTTTGAAAGAAATAAAGGTTTCCAGGGCTTGACACTGTCCTGTGGGTGTGGTCGATTAATTGCATTATTGGTCCCAACTCTTTACACCTACCCTTTGCCGTGTAGCCTGCTAGTGGCCTCTCACTATGACACTAGGATTTCCCATGTGATGTTCTTTGGCCAATAGGTGCAAGCAAAGGCTTGAAGAGCACTGGGGAGTTGAGATTGTTTGCTCGTATCTCTGCTTTCATGATGACAGTGTGCCTCAGTTAGCCTGGGGAGAATGAGTGTCGCATGGTCCAAGCACCACTATTGCCACAGCTGATGATAAGTCAGATAACTGCCATATTTAAGTGGGCCCAGAGGAGACAAGAAGAATCACCCAGCTGAACCCAGCCTAAATTGCTGACACATTAACTCATGAGCTAAATAAATGCTTATTGTTTTAAGCCACTAAGTTCCAGGGAGGCTTGCTGTGTAGCATTTTTGTGTTATTTCATAACCAAGACATTTTTAAGCATTAGGGACATTTTGGGAAGGGCTGTAAGAGTTAAATATGTTGGCTTTATAGGCAGTTGTACCTTATACAGTTTAACTCAGAAGTTACTCAGTAATCACCCACTTATGCATGTGTGTGTCCTATTCAAAGATGAGTGCAACAGTACCATTTTAAGTATATATGTGTGTCTTTAGGCCTTTTGCCTTGCCACAAAATGGGAGTGCCCTCAGATGGATCACATCCCACTAATGGGAGCTGGTTTCTGTTTCACATGTGTAATAGTTGTTGGGGGTTTTAGGAATGGGTTTTTCTGTGTTTGGTGTAATTAAGTGATTAAAGACTAAAGACTACATCCACCAGATTCTTGTGTAACTTCCTTACAGTAGCTTATGACCATGTTGGGGTTGTTTCCTACAGTTCTGATGGGAAATCAAATATGACTAAATTTAAGTTAATTCTAATTAAATAAAATTAAGAATTCCATTTATCATTTGCACCAGCCATGTGTGAAGTGCTCAGTAGCCACATATAGCTAGTGACCACTGCTTTAGCCAGCACAGATACAGAACACTTTTGTTACCTCAGGAAATTCTATCCAGCAGTGTTGGTGTCAATGCTTGTGTTGACATTTTTTATTTACAGACTCTTTTCTGCCTAAACTTCTAGTTTCTGCTGACCAGTTGCTTATGACAGATCCTCACTCTGGACCTCCCAGGAAAAATATTATTGTTCCCTAGTTTATTATATAAAACTCAAGCTAACCTGTTTTGACACCTACACCACTGAATGTTCTCTTGGTTTACAGGTCACAGAGCTAGCCATTAAAGTGGAGCTTTTATTTTACAGAGGGAGTTTCCATTCTGCCAGGGCAGAGTGAGGCTGTGGGAGGGAGTGATGGCCCCTGAGGAAACCCCCAGCTTGAGTTGTGAAAGCCCCAGCAAAAGCTGAGGGGAGAAAAGGAGAAGAAACCAAGGCACAGAAAAGGAATTTTGGGCAAAATCAGGAAATGCCCAGGTATCACTGGACAAGATTCCCTTGTATTTATCCTCCCACGTCCACCCCACTTTAGCTATGATTTACTAGAGGGGATGACCTGTCTCTGCTTTCTGGTTTCCTGAAAGGATTTTCCTCCAGTTTCTCTCCAAGCTTACTCAGATGGGGTGACCTTTTTGGATGATAAATCTAGGGAGTATAAACTAAGCTCCTCCATGTCTGGAACTTTCCCTGATTGGACCCTTCACTACCAGCCTTATGTTCAGAGGCCTCCCAAGGAGGATGACTGATGGGTGGGTGGGCACTCTGCCTTGTATTGTGGGGTTTAGTTGCAGGCCCATTTGGCCCTCATGTTGAGTCTTTTCTTTCAACAATGCTTCTGTCAGGGATAAAGGCAAAATTTTGGTTTCCATCTGCCATTTTTTTTTTTTTTTTTGGTCTTATTACCTTGATTTCTTTGAAATTCAAGTAGGGAAGAAAGATGCTGTTCGTTGGATGTTCCTGCAGACCTCAAAGTCTTGGTAAAACGTTTTCTGAGGCTGCTGCATGCTTGCCTTGGGCTGCATTTGTTCCCAGTTTAGCTTGTGTCTGACCCTCGTAGTCTGAAGTGTATCCAGGTCTATGTTCTTGTGGATTCTGCTGCATGGTGGTGGAAGGGCTTGATAAAGACTGACAGCATTTAACTGAGGTTTGAAGGAAGGACACAGTTTGGGTAAAGATAGAGGACAGGATGCAAAAAACCTAGAGGCAGGGAGCTCAAGGAGTGTTCAAAACGGGAGTGTGAAGCCATCTGGGGTGGGCTGAAAGACTCCTGCAGGCACATGATAAGAGAAAGGTCTGGAGAGATCAGGATCATCAGCTGGTGATATTTCTCTTCACCTCAAAATCATTCAACATCTTTGCTCATTGTCCTTTCTAGACAGGAATAGGAGTCCTCCACACTCCTTCACGGTCTACCTTCCTATTCCCTGCCACCTCCTCCAGCATCTTGTTCCCCTTAGTGCACCATTTTATGAGAAGGGTTAACCTTACTGAGCATTTATCTGTGTTGGAGACTTTCTATGGATTATCTTATTTTATTTTTAGAGCAACAACCTGTGACACAGGTAATATGGTCCTCTCTTTGTAGGAGCAGCGTCAGAGGCACCAAGTGGATAGGCAGCCTGTCCAAAGTCACACTGCTGGGGTTTAAACCAAGGCCAGGGTGAAGCTCTTAACTACACTACAGCTTCTTCCTATTTCTCTTGTAATTTCTTTCTTGTTTTACGCTCCCCTTCTGCATATAAAGATGTTCACATGTCCTTTCTCCTAAGAAACAACAATTTCTTTTAGTTGTCCCATCTCCTCAAGCTTTCCTCTGCCTCTCTCCTTCCTATTCCTGCCAAATTCCTTGAGGAGTCTGCATAGAGACACTTCTTCCTCACCATCATCTCATTTTGCTGCTGGAAGGTGTGGCATTCAGTGATGGCTTTCTCTTTATTCTCACTTTAGCAGTTGTCCTGTAGATTTGACTGTTTTGACCATTTGTCTTCTTTCTATCCTTCTTTCCTCTTGGCTTTCTTTAAACTCAAACTTTCAGGTCTTTCTCTCTGCCTGATCATTCTACCTGTTCTGAAAGCCTCCCTTGCTCCTCCTACTTCCCTATCAATGTCTCACCTAGGGCTTTTAATGCATCAGAGAGCCAAGTCCTGATAGGTCCTTAAAGGCTGAGCACAAATGTCCTCCAGGAAACATCCTTTGATTCACCTCCCTCTTCCTGAACTCTCTGGCAATGTGTGTATTTTGTGTCTGTTATCTATTGCTTCTAACAAGTTACCCCCACACTCATCAGCTTAAACATCAAACACTTATTATCTCACAGTTTCCATGAATCATACATTTTGGAGAAGCTTAGCTTGGTGGCTCTGTATTAGGGTCTTGATTGAGGTAGCAATTGAGATGTTGGCCGCAGTCGTCTGAAGGTTTGACTGGGGCTGGAGGATTGTGTTCCAAGATGGCTCCCTCCATGACTGTTGGCAGGAGGCCTCAGCTCCTCCCCACATGGAAGTCTCCAAGGAGGTGCTGCTTGGGAATCCTTAAACATGGCTTTTGGTTTCACCTAGAGTGAGTGATTCAAGAAGAAGCAAATAGGAAACCACAGTACTTTTTATGTCCTAATCTTAGGGGTTATATACCCTCACTTCTGCCATACTCTATTTGTTAGAAATAAATCACTAAGTACAGCCTACCTTTAAGGAAGAGGAATTAGGCTCCACCTTTTGAAGGCAGAAGTATGGAAGAAT